GTGTTTTAGTTTAGATGTTTAAGGCACTGCCTCTTTCCAGTAAAGGATATAGATGGGAGAGAGCAGCCTTGGTTTTGCTCTTTATATTGTTGATATTCAATCTCCAAGTGAGGTCTTTGTCCATATGGAGACCAAGGTAGGTACTGGACTACAGGGCTCCATTGAATTCTGTCTTATCATATTTTAATTGTGGGTCCTGGATTTAGTCTTCTTTTTTGAAAAATTATTGCCTGAGTTTTGGTACTATTAATTTTGATTTTGTTTTGTTTACACCAGTTTTCAATGTCATCAATATTACTTTGCAGTATTCTACTAATTATGTTGGTGTTATTTCCTCTTGTTAGAATAGCGTGTCATCGGCGAAAAGAGCAGTCATGGTGTAAGGGGATGTCGGAATCTCACTGATATATAAATTATATAAAATTAGGCCTAGTACCGAGCCTTGAGGTACTCCAGCTTGAATAGTCCTAGTAGAAGATAATTGTTTTCCCATTCTGACTTGAAAAGTTCTGCCCATAAGATAGCTGAGTATTAACTGCCACGTTTCCGGTGCAAAATTCCAGCTGATCATTTTCTGAATTAGTTTAAAGTGCCATAATTTATCGTATGCCCTCTCAATGTCTAAAAATATGGCACCAGTGGCCATTCTATAGTTGAAACCTTCCGTTGCATACTCGGTAATCCTTAGGGTTTGTTGCTCAGCAGAATGGCGTGACTTGAAGCTAAATTGCAATGTTGGTATCAAATTAAGCTCATCAATTTCTTCATCTAGTCTGTCTTTTATTGTCCTTTCTACAATTTTGGAGATTGTGGGAAGTAGACTTATTCGTCTATAACTGGCTGGTAGGGCCGCATTCTTCCTTGGCTTCTTAATTACAATTATGCGCACTTTTTTCCAGAAAAATAGTTGTTTCTCAGAATGAAGTTGGCTAAGTTTGCTAAAGCTGTGTGAGCCTTTTTTGGAAGTTCTTTCACCATTTTGTTACGAACGCCATCTATCCCTGGTGCCTTTTTTGTCCTAATTCTCTTGATCTGATCTTGAATTTCTTTGGAGGTGATGAATTTATTGTATATCTTGGGTGTTACTATATTGTTTAAGTTCCCAATAGCTTCATTTGTCTCCTCTATTTCTTCTAAGTTTGCAATCTGAATCACATTTTCTGAAAATATTGTTTCCAAAGAATCTAAGCCATACCATTCGCTCCATGTAGTGGAGGAATAGTATTACTTGGTCGTCTTACAGCTTTCTATATTTGCCATGCCGAATTGTCTAATGTTTTTAATGTTTTCTAGTCAACCATCCAAGGACCTTTTTTTTCAGTTATACATGTAAACCCCATACTTTGTGAGTGGCTTGCTTACATCAAGTCCTACAACTTTTCCTCTACGACTTTTCTCGGAAATGGCACGTATGCGCGCAGGCGACTCGCAAACATGTCGATCTGACGTAGCTATGTTTCCTGATACATGTAGGTAATTCTAATTTTACGAATACTGTTTGATTTTTATGTCTAAATCACGGAAATCAAATTGGCCGACAAAAATAATGGCAAATTGGGGGAGTCCGATACCCCTGAAATGTTTGCGAGTCGCCTGCGCGCATACGTGCCATTTCCGAGAAAAGTTGTAGAGGAAAAGTTGTAGGACTTGATGTAAGCAAGCCACTCACAAAGTATGGGGTTTACATGTATAACTGAAAAAAAAGGTCCTTGGATCGTTGACTATTCAGTTTGTCATTCTATTTATTGACTCTGTGGTTATTAAGGGCAGTTTTCAAATCTTGAGAATGTTCGTTTAAAATCATTTTTGTTTCTTGGTCTCTATAATTGGCTTATCTTCTTCTAAGTCTTCGGTTTTCTCTTATTTGATTGTGTGGTGCTATTGGCAAGTCTTCTATGGATCCTTTGTTTACAATTAGTATGTTTCCAATATCATCAGCTAGTAATATTTGTCCTGGAGGCTTGTACGCAGTGGACACTAGCGTCTTTTTACCATTTATTGTAGCTTCAACTGTGAAGTGCTCTATGCTGAAAGCTGTCATTCTCCTGTGGTCTTCTGGAGTATTAACGAATAGTTTGATATCTTCACCCACATTTTTAGCTTTATCAAAAGCAGCGTCATTACTTTTGAGTTTATCTCTCAGTGCAATCCAGCCTACTGCCAGAGACCACAATTGGTGGAATTTGCTTCACATTTCCTGCATAAGATTGTTCTTCGACTTTTACTAAGTCCATATTGTTAGTTTCATCTTCAATATGAAATATGAAATATGAAATGAATAATGACATTAATGCAGATTTGAGGATGGTGAAGGACTGGTGCGATTCCAATTTATTATCGTTCAATGTTTCGAAAACCAATGTTTTAAACTTCAAATGCGAACTGGAGAATGTTTACCTGGAGGATAATTTTACCTGGAGGATAATCCTGTAACTCCACAAAACCACAACAAATTCCTGGGCCTCACAATTGATAAGTCTCTCAAGTTTGACGATCACATTTCTAATCTTCGTAAAAGGGTTTCTTCGGGATGTTATGCCTTAAGAGTGATATCGAGGAGTTTGGATGTCTCGGTTGCTAAGAATGCATACTACGCTTTGGTAGAGTCTCACCTACGATATGGCCTAAGGTTTTGGGGTTGCTGCACCCGTTCACTTTTTGATTCAGTGTTTCTGCTCCAGAAGAGGGCAGTCCGTTGTACATTTAGAGTGAAGACTCGTGATTCCTGTCGCCCTCTTTTCATCAGTCATGCTATCTTTACGCTTTATTCGAAGTTTATAATGGAAACGGTGTGCATGATGTTCAGGAAGTACGGGGCTGAGAGGGAGGCGGACAAACACTATAATACTCGTCAGTCGTTTCTTCTCGGCTTGCCCATACCTCATTCCCAACTGGTAAAAAAATCATTTATATATGAAGGTAAAAAACTATTCAATCACCTTCCAATAGAAATAAGAAAGCTTGGATGCTACAAGAGTTTTAGGAAGCAGGTTAAGGCTTTTTTGGTTGATAAAGCATACTACTGCCTCGAAGAGTATTTTAATAAAAGGATGGTAGCTGGTTGAGGAATGTTGGACCTTTGTTTTTGACAGCGAGTGACAATGTATATTTGGTATCGTTTCTTTTGTAATGAGTCAACTTTTATATGTAAGAAAAGCGAATGTAATTTTTTTTTTCTATGCTTTTGCGTTGCATATTGTACGAGATTTTATACTTTTGTCTGTGTTTCATGCATTGGTAAAGACTTGCTTTTTCTGTTTTTTGTTCTTTTATTTACGACTGACATATAATGTAAGTATTATATTTCTGATTTTGGCAGTTTAATGCCATCTATTATTCCCGCCGGGATTAATGGTCATTATTCCCGCTTGCACACCAATCACAAAATTTCTCAAATTAAATAAGTAGGTAGTACCATGGAAACAGTATAATACAAATTCAAAAGTGTCAGTGTCAAATGCGTAGTGCTTGTGTATTTGTATTGAGATGGATGAACGAAGAGCGTTTTTGGAAAGAAAATTTCAAATAAATTAATTTGTCGTAAATAAAGTAGAGTATACTACTCGCAATTATGGCTATTATTCCCTCGGAATGTTACTCCCTCGCCGCTAACGCGGCTCAGTTCGTAAATATTCCTCGGGAATAATAGCTATCATTATTGACTCGTGGTATAATCTACTATTATTCTCTGTTTTAACTGACTAATGTTTTAATTTTTAATTTTAGTGTTAGTTTTAGACTTTATTTTAGTACAGCTTTGTCAGCAACATTTTGTTTTAAGACAATAAAGCTATTTTTGACTTTGACTTTGACTTTGAATAATTGGAGTGATTTCCTTAGGTATGATTCTCCTCTTTGAGGTTCCTGGCTATGGCCATTCCCCATCGTTAGTTGTACGCTTATTTTTATTCTTTGGTTCCTCGTTTGGTTTTTCAAATCTCTTTTTAAGTTCATTGAAGGCTGCTTTCATATTACTTTTAAGTTGGTTTATTTCGTCACTTTTCTTCATTTGCAATCTGTTTCAGCCTCTTGAGCATTGTGCTTCACCATCTTGGAGAAAATGGGGCGAGCCCCAGCCTCTGTTGATGTTCCACAATTTTTACTCACTTTCACTTTACACACGAATCGCTTATTTGATTTTTCGTCAAAATTTCGAAGTCGCAAAGGAGCATACGTCACGCACGCACCGCTGCTCGATCGGAACTCTCGCTATCAGATGCAAAAGTCGTAGCGACAAAAAAGTGCCAGGAATTACGTTTCACAGGTGAATAAATATATTCTTGTTTTCTAAATATAGAAATATTTTCATTAAGAGGAAGTTAATCTATATAAAAACAATAGAGGGTGTTCATAAAAGCCATAAACACGTCCTGTGATTGGTTTGGAAAGGATTTTTTGTTCATTTGTGTTGTAAATCTTTGTCCAAAAATCGAAAACAGGTATTCACCATTATATTTTCCAATGGCGTAGTAAATGCCATCTAAAAAATGCGGATTCCATCTTGACCAAAGAAATATGTTTTAATTTAATTTTCCTGGCTTTAATAGACAGTCATTTTGTTCTTTGATTGGAAAGTGCATAGAATGATATTTTAAGGTGTATTTTACAAAACAAATTGTTTATGTATAACAATAATTTCATTGTAGATTTCCTCTCAAAGATTCAGAAAAAACTGGAATTTGGGTTAAGAACACACATAGAGCAGACTAGACGCCCACCAGGCTTTGTTCTCTTCATTTTGAGCGGCACTTCTTTTATGAATCGGGAAGCAAGACATGTTTGTTAAACAAAGCAGTGCCTACCATATTTTTGGAGTTACCAAAGTATTTACAAGTACCAGAGAAGCCCAAAAGGGTATGTATTTTTTACATTTTTCAAGTAATAGGTAGCTGAAAGAAACCATAAAAATTTGAATTTTATAAGACTATATGCATTTTTCATTCTGATTTTGAAAAGTTGGTATTGTTTTGGGACTAGCTAACATAATCTGTTTTTTGCAGAGGGCCAAAAGACCTCTTCAAGAGACGCAAGTTGTTGCAGGGCCTTCAGGTGTCAATACGAACAATGGAGAGGAAGACTCACCACGTAAAAAAAAGCTAAGACAACAGTTGCAGTTACAAAAAGTAAGGAGAAATCAAAGAAGATTAGGGTACTTGGCCAAAAACTGAAGAGATATAAAAAAAAGGTGGCTTCATTGAAACAAATTATCAAAGAGTTGAGAGCACTCAATTTAATAAGTTCTGAAAATGCTTCAGTTATTAATAACATGTCAGAAATTAGTAAGGAATTGCTAAAACGTAAATTGAAAGAAAACAGAACCAAATACTCACCAGAGTTAAGGAAGTTTACCATAACTTTGTGTTTTTTATCACTGGAAGCATACGATTATGTTCGAAGTTCGAAGATCTTTTGACACATGCTTGCCGCATAGAAGTACTATAGGAAAAAAAACACCCTGTATATAAAGTAATGAATATATTAAAAGCATTATTAATGTGTAATGTGTATTCTTTATATTCCACAAGAATAAACTGGCACTGGGCACAGGTTAGTGCTCAGTTTTTCTTTATTAAACAGATTAATAATATGCTATACTTATGGTCGGTTTATAGCTCAAATAAAAACTCATTTAAAATGTGTCGATTCTAATTTTTTCTATCAAATTCTGATTTAGTCTGACCATTAAAGTATATGTACAGTCGGTTGGAAACAAACTAGGACATCAAAATGTCGAAGATACTTTTGAAATTCAATTTTAAGGTCTTTACGGAAACGCTGATCCGATTAACCAGCCAAATCAGAGGCTGTTTGTTTTTCATCCTTCAATGAACGCGATTGAAAAAAGACAAATTACTTTGGATATCAAGGACCTACCTATCTTCAATACTGTCGCAAATAATAAATCATTGTTTATACAAAATTGTGTTAAAACAAAATTCCGTTTCGAATACGTCAAATTGGCATTGTTTTAAATAAAATATATACATTAAAATATTTTTTTCTAATTTTGACATTTAAAGCGACACTTTTCAAAATTCGTTGAAGTTATCAAATGTCTTACTTTTCATCACCAGTTGCGAAATGTAAAATTTTTCGCAACTGGTGATGAAAAGTAAATTTCACCATCAGTTGCAAAAAATACAGAAATAAAATTTGTGGTTATTTCAGGGCTAAACTACTTGAAGTATTTATTTAATATTATTTTTCTACAAACATCAATAAAAGTGTAATTTTTAAGGGATGCTGTCAGTGTCTAAAATGCCATTTTATGACACTGGTGTTAAAAGTGATTACTTTTAGCGCTAGTGCTAAAAGTAATCACTTTTAGTGCGTTTGTAGAAAAAATTGTGTATGATATTCGTGCTAAAAGTGATTTTATTTTGTTCAAAGGCATGGAACACTCCGCCTTTGGCGTCGTGTCCCAAACTTTCCTTTTCACAAAATGAAATGTCACTTTTAGCACTTATATCATATATAACTATTTATGTTCTAATATTATAATATATTCTACATACTATGAAAATTTAATTTTATTCTAATTGATAACATATCGTCGTTAATTTCACTAATGGGCGTATATTGAATTTATTAATTTTTCAGGACAAGCATTTGATTTTTTCAATAAATTTGAAAGCTTATGAGTCAAAAACCAAAATAGATATTAAAATGTCTTTTGGTGTACTTACAGGCTATTAAGTGGTATTTGGAATACTGTTCATAAAAGTAGAATACTTTCATTTTTAGTCTGAAAATTTTGAAAAAAATACATTTACGCCACTTTGCGAAATTTTATTTTTGCACGTTTCACATACGCCTCCCAAAATAAGTCATATACTGCCCTTTGTACAGGTTTGTCAACTATTTTTTTTTTTATACTCTCTTAATGGTTTGTAGTTTAATGGCAACAAGGTAGAGTGGTTGGAATTTTTAAAAAACACATCTGCCTAAATTAGAATACATTTTTATTGCATAATATTAAAATTAATAAAATTTTGATTATATTATGTTTTGCTGCTAAGAATAAACTTTACGAATCAAACTTAATATAAATAAACGGTTGACTCATGGCCGTTTCCACCAACTATTTTAGGGGAAACATAACGATAAGTATTCCCTAAAATGACATTTTTTCATGGACAAATGTCAGTTTAAGGCATACCTATCGTTAGGGCTTCTCTACTCTCTACTACTATACCTAATTATGATTTAGCCTCATTGCCGACTACTGGCTTGTTTAAATCATTTTTTTCTTATAGTTTGATTGGCAAATTCGATTCCTCATCACTAGAATAATCACTATATGGTAATGTAGCTGACGTATCATCATAGTCCTCATTTTTCTCTACAGCTATGACAGATCCACAATACCATTTTTTTTTTCATACCTACCACATTTTCACATAACTGCCTTCTTTTAGAGTTTTATTTTTGCCCAAAACCACTATCTGTCGCGAATCCACAATATTTTGTGTGCTGCCTGTCCATTTAATTAGAACATCCATCTTTGCAATAAAAACACAAACCAAAACACGAACAAGTGCAGTAAATTGACTGACTTATGTCTTCCGATATGAGCTAAATTTTAGTTTAAAACAGGTTTGGTGCGCGTCAGCAAAAAGGCGTATGTATTACTATATACGCCAACGCGAGCTTCAAGGTCATCTCTAAAAAAAAAATATTACAGGCGTATATGATATACGCCTTTTAGGAAGATACATATTTCTTGTTTCAAAACATACGTCTAAAAGAAAAATGTGTATAACTCAGAAACTACTGGCAGTTCATATGCGCCAATTAGAGGGCGTATAATTTTGATGTTTTGCGACATAAATTCCCTGAAAACGAAAAATCGCTTATTTCTCATATACGTCCCTTTGTCAAATTAACGACGATATGTGTGGAAAAAATTAAAACTAATTATAAATATTGATAACACAATTTGAACAATTGGTGATATTGACCCCAGCTGACAAAGTAGTTTTCTGTGTAGCATTAATTTGCGTCTTTTCCATGAAACTTATGGAAGTCTCTCCAAGAATGTTGGATGCAATTTCCTTTTCATTCGTCATGGAATTCTCCACATAGCCCTCAGCGACTGCATTGGACTTCCACCCCCCCATGCTGTTTAATTCGCAGCAAATCGGCTCCAGAATCTGCAAGGAGAGTTGTCGATGACCGTCGAAAGAATGTCCAGTGTACAAACAGGGGTTTGGCAACTTTAAAAAATGGGCAATCATTTTCGGCAAATTTCCAAAGGTATTAATACCTACAGGTTGAACTCCACATTTCCCATTTAAATATTTGACAAAAAAACCTGTCATGCTTAGTAATTGATGGCCTTAGCAGGACGTATTTCTTCATCATTTCAATGCAATTTATTCCATCAAAAGCACCAGTGGTTATAGCAAATTCTCGATATACTTTCGTCTTTGTGTTGGGTATGGTCACTTTAACGAACTGCTCCTGAAATACCACATTTTCTACGCGAAGATAAGTTAATTCACTTTTTCGACAAGCTACAGCAGCTCCAAAAATTAATGCTATGCACAAATAGGCGGATCGCAGAAAAAGATATAATGATGTAGACAAGGCAATAATGGCTTACACTTACTTTGTTCATTAAATGTTGCGCATCGGCAGCTTCGCTCAGAAAATTGGCAATGTTTTCTTTACTTAAGACCTGCGATTTTTTAGGATGGTAATTTTGGGAATGACGTTTCAAGAACGCGACCAAATTTGTGTACTTCTTGATATCAATTTTTTTTTAGGGACAATTCAGTTCTTAACATCGAATATAAACTCCATAATGTTGAACTCTTCATTTCCTTCTTCTCTTAGAAATACGAGAACAAAACTTTTTCGTTAACATTGTTTTTTGTTTTTTGTTCGCTCCATGAATTGAACTTGACATACGCCAATTCATATTTGCTTTTATATTTCTTTGGAATGATCGTAGATAAGGCAGATTGGGCTGCTTCTTCTATATCACTCGGTACGTCGTCTCTTTCAGAATTCGACATTGGAATAGTTATTCTTTAATCTTTAGTTTATAACGTTTGATAAGAACACTTTTTCGGAAATTATAATAGGAAACTCAGACTCATGCACACTTGACACCTCTATGCTTGACACTTTAATAATTGCTTCCATAGCAATTAGTGTTACCGCCGCCAACTGGATATGACGGGCGAGTAAGGAAAACTTTGTTTTAGCACTGGTAGAGGCCTTTTGGTACTGCGGTAGCGTGCCACCAGGGACTTTGTTTAAAGTCCCACTGAAAATCTAGGTAACTTTGAGCGGATACTTTCTAGTAATCCGATTAGATCGCCTCTTCCAGTGCGGTTTCTTGCTACCTGAGCTGTACGCAGTAAGTTGGAATGCTAGCTTGGGATTTTCCAAAGGAAATAAAATGATCAGTTTTTCTTACTGAACTCTAACAATGGTTTATTGAACAAATGGTAAATCTTGGTAAGGAAATGGAAGAAACGCAAAGAATATACAGTAGGTTATTAACAATGTTTACTGAAATGAAATGAAAGAAAATACATACGTACGGAGATTTGGAATGATAGAGAGTGAAATCAATGAGCGTCCTGTATAGGGCGTTCCTTGATGGTACAAGTTACATGAAGAATTAGAGATTAAAAGATACAGAAAATAAAGACTAGGTTACAATTCTTAGTAGGTAAAAGTCACGGGCGTCCTCGACAAGGGAATGACAAAACGGCCTTGTTATTCCGGGTAAGATACATGTTGGAAAGGAGATTTGAGTTGTGAAGCTAACCCAATGGTTTTGTTCTTTACACAGCGGAGAAAATAAATAATAGACAGAAAACAACAATCATGGTAGAAAAATTAAAATACTTGAAATTGAAACATTACCTAAGGTCTCGGAAAGAGAGTCAGCAGAAAGACGTCAACACTAAACACCAGAACTTCGTTACAGAACTGAATGAATCTAGTAGATTCACCAGCTTATCTATATTGGCACCTTGATGACGCTTTTAGGATTCTTATCGGTCGCAAAACATGCGGTTGTTTTCCGTAGAACCATGTGTCGAGAGTCGTATTTTAAGATATAATCAGGACACTATTTCGGGATCCGATTGATAACTCTTGACTCTTGACATGGTTTTGTCAGAAATTTAGCAAATTAATCTCGCTGGGA